CCTCCATCATATATTTGTTTCTTACCAGATTGTATCTCATTTTCTTCTTTCTTGAACTTGAATTCTTAGTAGCATTACCCTTTATTTGCAAAGAGTAGCTACTCATGCCATTTTTTTTGTTCTTGAACTTGAATTCTTGAGTAGCATTACCCTTTATTTGCAAAATTAACTTTCATAATGTGGTTCTTGGCTAAGAGTAGCTACTTATAGATATTTTTTTTTTTTTTTTGAATTTCAGGCTCTGCTACACTCCTCTCACATGTACCATGAAGCCGTGCATGCCTTCCCAAACCATGGTGTCAAGTTCTCCCAGCTTGAAGTTGATCTGCCTGCCATGATGGCACAAAAAGACAAAGCTGTCTCTGGTCTAACCCGAGGTATTGAAGGCTTATTTAAGAAGAACAAAGTGAACTATGTTAAAGGATATGGAAAGTTTGCCGCACCTAATGAAATATCCGTAGAGACCCTCGAAGGTGGAAACACAGTTATCAAGGGCAAAAACATCATAATCGCAACAGGTTCTGACGTCAAATCCCTTCCAGGAGTCACCATTGACGAGAAGAAGATTGTCTCATCAACTGGTGCTCTAGCTTTATCCGAAATCCCCAAAAAGCTTGTGGTGATTGGTGCTGGCTACATTGGACTAGAGATGGGCTCAGTCTGGGGTCGACTTGGCTCAGAAGTAACAGTTGTTGAGTTTGCTTCAGACATTGTTCCGACTATGGATGGTGAAGTTAGAAAGCAATTCCAGCGGATGCTTGAGAAGCAAAAAATGAAGTTTATGCTTAAGACAAAGGTCGTTGGGGTCGACACATCTGGGTCAGCGGTGAAGCTTACACTCGAGCCAGCTGCTGGCGGTGAACAAACCACTCTTGAGGCTGATGTAGTTTTGGTCTCAGAGCCAGCTGCTGGCGGTGAACAAACCACTCTTGAGGCTGATGTAGTTTTGGTCTCAGCAGGTAGAACACCATTCACTGCTGGGCTTGGACTTGATGCTATCGGTGTTGAGACGGACAAGTTAGGCAGGATTCCTGTAGATCATCAGTTTATGACGAATGTTAAAGGCGTCTATGCCATTGGAGATGTAATACCGGGACCCATGCTTGCTCACAAAGCTGAAGAGGATGGAGTTGCTTGTGTGGAGTTTATCGCAGGAAAAGAGGGCCACGTTGACTATGACTTGGTGCCTGGAGTTGTATACACACATCCTGAGGTTGCTTCGGTTGGAAAAACCGAGGAGCAAGTGAAGGCAGCTGGTGTAGCTTATCGAGTGGGCAAATTTCCTTTCATGGCAAATAGCAGAGCAAAGGCTATTGATGATGCTGAGGGGTTGGTGAAGATTCTGGCAGAGAAAGAGACCGATAAAATCTTGGGAGTTCACATCATGGCACCAAATGCTGGAGAATTGATCCATGAAGCAGTGCTGGCAATGCAGTATGGAGCGTCAAGTGAGGACATTGCTCGCACGTGTCATGCTCACCCTACTATGAGCGAGGCTGTGAAGGAAGCTGCTATGGCTACCTATGACAAGCCCATTCACATGTAGTTAGCTTTTGTATGATTCTGGTTTAATCTTCACGTCCTTACGAGTTTTTGAAATAAGTTTAGGTTCAGTTATCGGGAACCAATATTGTTCGTCAACTGGCAGACACTTTTGTCAGCGAGATTTAGAAAATCTGAGATTTTTGGTTTTGTAAGCATTTTTTAACGGTTTTATTTCAGTGTCTGAACAGGATTTGGAGTCTATGTTGTAAGTTGAGATGCACATGAAATTTGGTGTTACTGAACATTTGTTCGAGTAGTATACTGTTGCCTTGTTTTTGTGTAGAGTGCGCTTAAACTCACTCAGGCCTATAATGATCTGAGATGCAACTTGGAGGACGGTTGGAAAAAGTTGGAACCAAATTGGCAACTAGACAGATTTAGTATATTGTATAAAACAACTGAAGCTTGCTATTTGGTGATGGTTATTTCATACGCATGCGCAAAGGCGAGTCAATCAACAAACAGTCAGAACTACCAGCGTCACTAAGTAGCCAATACTGTGTTCGCTTGTTGAAACTTGCGTCTAGCAACCTTCTGCTTTCACTTGAACTTTCTCATGGCTTTAGAAATCTACTGGTATGATTCCATTTGCTTTGCCATTATTGTGTTCGCCATCACGAGCTCTCTATGGGTAGTCCTAAAGAAGGAGGGCAGTCGGCGTGCAGGTGATTGGACCAAGTATGACTACTGGGACTTGCTGGTTGTTGTCGCTCAGGGTAGTGAACCGAGGCTCATCGCTCTGTCGAGAACTGGGCATGTGGGCTCAGACCAGCCCTGGATGAGCTGCTGGCGATGCGTTAATCCTGAATGGCTGCTTGTGCTTAGGATGTTTGCCTTCATCGTGTTAGTTGGGATCTTGTCGTGGGATATTTCGGCTTATGATTCAACCATTATGGTGTACTATACTGAGTATGTGGCTGCAACCTTTGTTGTTTTCGAGGATGTGATTCTCCAGGAGTCTTTGGTTAAATTCGTATCTATTCTCGATGCAAAATTACATCAGTTAGATGCATATTTTGACCACCAACAACACTCAATTTTGTTAATTACCTCAGTTTTTAGTGAACCACATTCATCAGGTGCAAAATAATTACTAGCGATACCAAGATTATTGAGTTTACAAATCAATAACTCCGTCGTCACATTATATAGAACATAGGAAAGAAGCTAGCAAATTAAAATATCTTTCATTCCCCCAAAGTATATTAGTAAGGGAGACGCTACAGGCATACCCTCGGGCACTCCGACCACCCCCCTCTAGCTATAGTGTAGGGGGCCCCACTTGAGTTTTTTTTTAAAAAAATCTCAAGTGAGGCCCTCTGTACTGTAGCTAGAGGGGGTGTGGCCGGAGGTGTGCCCGAGTGTGTGCCTGTATCATTTTTCTATTAGTAACGGTAGACGAGAAAATTCTAGTTTCATTGGCTTTGATTTATACCTAAAACAGAAAAAAATGACACAAAGATGAATACACTCAATACAGAGACGATAAACTGCTACTGAAAATATATGCAGAGGAGGAATTACCCTTCTGAAAATAAGTAAAAAAGTAAAAATAAAAAATTGACAACAGGGGTAAGCTCTAGTAGATGTAGGGATGCTTCTGGTGGCAGTTGCAGCAGTTGCGTCTCATAACCCTCATCTTTAATATCCGTGTCCTGTTCCTTCGTCACTCCCCAAAGTCTTCACCCTTTCCATCTCCAATCTAGATATCAAAGTTAGGGTTTTTTTCGTCCCAACTTAGGGTTTTCTCCCCTAAAATGAAAGAGAAGAGAGAAGGCTTAGACTACTGGATCCACTGGCAAGTGTTCGTCTGCGCTCTGGTCATCGTCGCTCCGGCGATCGCGGCGGCGATCGTGCTCTCGAGATATAGGGATGAGCAATTGAGACCGTCGGATGTCTGGACTCCTTGCTGGAAGAAGATCCATCCGATTTGCCTTCTGGTGTACCGCGGTCTCGTTGTGTTGATCATGTCTTGTTTGCTGACTCGATTCCTTCTTGTTGACGGCGCTTTCGCCTTCTACTTCTATACTCAGTAAATTTTCTTCTTTCTCTCTTTTCGATTTTTGCTGAATACTCTGTGAATTTAGGACATTGTCAATATCTTGTGATGCTCGTTAGCAGAACGAGTTAAAAATTTGGTGACTGGTAGTTCATCTAGGCTTTGAAATTGAATTTGGAGAAACTTTGAAAGGACTTGAAAAAAAGAGCGAGATTTGGCGGTGGAAAGATATTTTGCTTGATAACAAGTTCATAAGGCTTGAATATTCGATGAATTTTGCTTGAATCCATTGCTGAAACGACATTTATAACCTAGGTAGCACAGATTCGGGTGCGGACACGGACACAGACATGGCAAATTTGTAAAATGTAAGATACATGAGAGCGAGATTTGGCGGTGGAAAGATATTTTGCTTGATAACAAGTTCATAAGGCTTGAATATTCGATGAATTTTGCTTGAATCCATTGCTGAAACGACATTTATAACCTAGGTAGCACAGATTCGGGTGCGGACACGGACACAGACATGGCAAATTTGTAAAATGTAAGATACATGTTATAACCTAGGTAGCACAGATTCGGGTGCGGACACGGACACAGACATGGCAAATTTGTAAAATGTAAGATACATG